ACCACACAGTGCCAAAGGGCCGCAGGCCCTGAGTATTAGCTTGGTCACCGGAATTTGGGCTCATCTTATTTAATACGGATAAAATAAATTAGCAAATTGGACAAATTCATTTTTACACTCACTTGATTAAGGTACCTAAAAGTCTTTTTAATAGACACAAAAAGATCTTCTGAAACTCCCTCTTTAACAGATTGTTTGTTTAATAAAAATATAAAATAAGTTGTATTAGGATAAAAACTATGGAAACACTCTATTATAAAGTTTATGTATAGCTCAAACTTTTTTTTTTTTCAGTTTTGGAAAAAGCAGCTTGGAAAAAGCAGCTAAGGACTACAATAGCTGTCACGTTTTCACTCTCGGTTTCTATCTCTGCTGTATTTGTCCTAATGACCAAGTGATTTTCTTTTCCATGGAAGTTGAATTACCCTTGAACTTCTGGTTTGGCCATTTTCTCTGTTACACAGTGATTGTGAGTACTCTTTGTAAACTTCATTTAATGGTGACTTTTTGTGACCTTGCAGACTATGATCTGTTGATAACAATGAGATATTATGTTCATGATGTCACAAATACACCAACAGCTACAGCAGATAAACACTAATTACTGCTAATTAGTTATTACTGATTACTGTATGAATAAATAGCTCAGTAAAGAATGTGTTTTGATGTCAGTTCTTGACCAAGCTGTGTTGCGAGGTCGTGGATCTAGCAGTACTGTCTGGCAAAGGTGACCAAGTTATGAAACTGTCTTTGCAAAATAACAAACCTTTGGCAAGTAAAACTGCTCCTGTTTATGTATTTTATCTGTGTTTTTAGCTGATGTTCAGCCTCATTATTATAACGGTGTACCATTAATTATACCTTTAGTAGTTCTGACTTGCAAACAGGTATTATTGTGCTATGTATTCTCTGAATTTCATTTGACAAATTTTTAATGTATGCTTTATGAAAACTAAAATAAAGACAAATATTATATTTAGCAGTTCTGGCTTATTTAATATAGCAGTGAATAGAGCAATTACAATATGTAGAATAGCATCCCATGGAAACCAGTTAAGTTTCTTTTACTATTGATAGATTAATGATTGGTTGCTATGGGCTTTCCATACTGCTTTTAATTTTATTCACTTAATTAGAACTCTGTCCAAAATTAGCTTCAGCTGTGAATATGTCAGGACCCCGGGTTTGAACCTACAACCTCTGCCGTATCTGGCAATGTTTCATCTTGCTGAGCCACCTGTGATGCTGGACAGCTCCATGTCTGATTGTTTGGACTTTCTTGCTTGTCTCCTGTTTTTGGTGAACCTTGAACTGTTTGCAACTCCCATGAACTTACTGATTTGAACCATGTACTGTATCTGCACTGTTTGCCAGATTATTGTACACTTTCAAGCCAATATCTCACTCTTGTCCTCTTGTCACTCCTGTTGCCGCCATCTGTATCTCTGCTACCACTAGTTACTGATGTGGGTTACTGGGTGGAGGTTATTAAATGTCACTTATTCTAGATTTTATATATGGCTTTTGTATAATATTTTCCAACCACAAGATGGTGCTGCATAGTTGTTATGTTTTTTATAGTTTCCAACCACTATATGGCATGTAATTGAGCCATATAGTTCATTAATTATATTTTATGCAATTTATGTAAGATTGCTGATACATTTTATAACTATTTTGCAGCTTGGCTGTACTGATTTATTTAATTCTAGGTCACGATTTTTGGTTTCGTGGTGTTATGGCATCCAGCTTGTCTATGGCCTTATGGTTCCGGTCTGTGGAGTGCAAGTTTCACTGGTTCACTTCTGTGGTGTCGTTATGACATCCGGTTTGTTTATCTGCTTGTGGTTCCGGTCTGTGGAGTGCAAGTGACACAGGCTCATTTCCACTCTGGGACTATTTATAGTGTGATGAAAGTCGTAGGCCACACCCTTGACTACGTCTTCTTATGACGAAATGCGTAGGGTAGACCTATGGCTTATGACGTCATCACACCACGCACTTTGGCCATGTTGTCGGTTGTAAACTTTACTGATTTTACATGCTGATTTATTTTGTTTTTGTGAAATTGTCTTTGGTAGAGAAGGTTCATTTAGGATCCATTACATCCATTGATTCCCAATACCTGCTGTTTTTGACCGCATGACCTGTGGTCATATTCTCTGGTAAGCTGTGAGTGGTGACGGTGGAGCAGGGGTGGACTGACCATTCAAACACTTGGGCACTGCCCGAGGGCCCGGGGTCAGTAGGGGGCCCCATGAGATGCCCCTGGTACCTTTCATTGGCTTTTTCATAGGCTTTTTTTGGGTGTTGGTGAGGACACAGGGGCCCCATGATCCCCTATTGCCCGGGGCCCCATGAGTTGTCAGTCCACCCCTGCGGTGGAGGATCCTCTTTTCTTCTTTTTGGTGGCCCATCACCTTTCTAAAGATATGGGCTTTATATAAAATACTGTATAGTCACATTTTATGGACTTTTCTAAAGGACTTTAATTTATTGCCATATTACAATTTGTGTAAGAGTGGGGTCAATAAGCGCTACATATTCATTTTTGTAATTATTTTATATGCTGCCTACATTTCTGTGTTAGCTGCTTTTTCACCATATACAGTATGTTGCATTTAGCGCAGGAATATATAATTATTTAGTTACTGATGTTTGACTTGTTCCTCAATTGCGCTTCTACTTAATCCCAACCTGCGACTATGTGTTACCTACCTTTGGCTTGTTTACTGACTATGGCTTGTTTACAGACTATGCTTTTGCTTGATCCCTACCTGCTATATCTGCTTTAGATCCTGGCTTGCTTACTTCTTGGTGGAGCGATCCTGAAGACCGCAACCTGTTACTAAAACACAACAAAACTCACCTCCACCATCAGGAGCTCAGGTGAACTCCGGTTTGTGCTTAGACTCTGCACCTGGGTAATCCTGCAATTATCCGCCAAGGTGGCCTGCTTGTATAGCTATCCTGCTGGTCGGTGGGAGCCTCTCTACTGCTATAGCTACTGGTCTCCAAGGCTGACAATAGAGCTGGGTTAGGGTAGTACTTCTGTTGGATTTTTTTGCTCTCCGTGTTCCTGTGTGGTCATTGGGGTTGGTTGTGAGGGGAATATAAATAGAAGAATGGAAAAGTGTTTACAGGTCTTTATAGCGGTGTTTCCAGTGACTACAAAGGAAGTGAGTATGGATGAGCTTTGGTGGTACTGACCATATTTGGTGAATGATGCCACTTAGGATGCTTGATGGTTTGTTTACAAACAGCAGCTTGTTGCGATCTGTTATTTTGAGGCAGTAGTTTGAAGGAGTGATTTAATCCGGTACCAGGATTAGGTAGCAGCGTGGAAACATTGTTGGGCACCAGGTCATTGTGATTTACTGGATTATGTAATTGACATTGTATTTACATCTGGGGAAATTGTTTATATTTTTTTTCAAACAAAGACCTTTGTTATGATGTCTGTGTTTTTATTTACTTTCTAATCTTTGTGGGAAATGAATATTAAGGGGTACTCATGTACTTCTCATTCTCCTAGGGGGTAAGATAGATATCTGGGAGATGTCTTATTACAAAGGGGGCTTTCAGATTCTGATAAGTACCGTTCTGCCCTGCAAACCTCCACATCCCTTTAAAGGATGGAGTGTGGGGATGATGCCCTTCTCCCACAAAAAATAGGACAAGATACCCCTCTTCTAGCAAGGTATTTCCACCCCCCCCCAATGTGAAAAAGGCATGTGGCGTGGTATGGTTGAGGCGAAGTGTGGTATATGCTAACTGCTCTCTTTCCTGATAGCTCAGTTTGTGTGCCTAGATAAGGTCTGGTATTATTGTGTCTTTTTAAAGGGACAGTATACATTAAAAAGATAGGAAAAAATGTGGGTTGTCCCTAAAATGTATACCATTATATCCTTATCCAGGCATTGTTTTGCGTATATCATTACAGCTACTCTGTGGAAACATTTAAACCCTGTAGTATATTAATGTACTTTTACTAAACAAGAATGCTGCATATTATTATATAAATTACTTACCATTATGAAAAAACCAAACAGGACATACATAGTAACTCACATGTACACGTTATCTAACCTTCCTGGAAAATGAGCATTGACAATGCTCTGTATGCTGTAGGGATACATGAAAAAGCTACTTAGCTTCCATTATTGCTGTTTCTTCTTGAACAGGACTTCAGGCATAAAGTATCTGAAGGAAAACCACATGTTGAGTTGGGTTCTCTCATAGTGTAGATTTAGTATCATCCTCAGGTGAAATTCCAATTGCAGCTTGAGCTGCTAGCCTTTTATTTCAAACGTTTGGTTAGCTATTCCCACTTGGGTGTCTTCTTTGTAACCCTTCCTTTCTACATCAGTTTCTATGAGAGAAGCATTTTCAACTCCAAACTCTAGATGGCACTGTAGTATCATACATGCCATAGGCCAAAAGGTCAAACTATTGTTAACCACTTGCCCACCGCAGATAACTGAATGATGGCTTCACTGCAGCCGGCCAGTACTGGGATGGCATCATATGACGTCCTCCCAGAACGTGCCCTCCCGCGTTCCCCCGGCGATCTCCGTCCTACGGACACAGCTGATCATGTGAGGTGGTAAAAGGCCAATCACAGCGGCCTTTTATGATGTGATCAGCCGTGTCCAATGACACAGCAGATCACCGGTAAATGCAGTTGCCAGTTATCGGCTGCACTTTCCTCACGCTGTCACAGCAATTGTCAGAGGAGGGATCGGCACCGATCATCAGGGCACTGATGATCAGTGCCCTGATGATCGGTGCCCATCAGTGCCACCCATCAGTGCCGTCCATCTGTGCCCAATAGTGCCACCCACCTGTGCCCAGCAGTGCCACCCATCAGTGCCACCAGCAGTGCCACCCATCAGTGCCCAGAAATGCCACCCATCAGTGCCGAGCAGTGCCGCCAGTCAGTGCCCAGCAGTGCCACCAGTCAGTGCCGCCTATCAGTGCCCATCAGTGTCGCCTGTCAGTGCCCATCATTGTTGCATATCAGTGTCAGCTCATCAGTGCCGCCTATCAGTGCCCATCAGTGCCTCCTATCAGTGCCCATCATTGTTGCATATCAGTGCTAGCTCATCAGTGCCACCTATCAGTGCCTCCTCAGTGCTGCCTATCAGTGCCCATCAGTGCCCGTCAGTGCTGCATATCAGCGCAGCCTCATCAATGCACATCAGTGAAGGGGAAAAATGACCTGTTTGCAAAATTTTATAATAGAAACAGAAAAAATCATTTCTTTTTCAAAATTTTTGCTCTTTTTTTGTTTATAGTGCAAAAAAAAAAAACACCCAGCGGCAAGCAAATACCACCAACAGAAAGCTCTATTTGTGTGAAAAAAAATGATAAAAATTTAATATGGGTGAAGTGTTGCATGACCGCACAATTGTCACTCAAATTGGTCTGGGCAGGAAGGGGTTATAATTGCCTGGTAGGCAAGTGGTTAATCCCTATTGACACAGTATTGGGTTCAGTGTTTGAAAAAGCTCATCTAAAATAATGGTTATAGTTAAAAATGTGTACATTGCCCAAATATACAACAATAGGATCTATTTCCCCATTTTATTAGAAGGCAGCATGTACAAACATTGTTTCAATGGCATTTGTTTGGGAGATGTTCCCATGAGAAAACCAATGTTGTTTACTACTGAAAAATAACAGAGATTTTTATGTAAGCTGAAAAAACACAGAATCTATAATACAGCATAAAGCCTGGGTGGCAAGGAAAGGGATGGCAGTGAAGGTGTTCCTTCCCCTCTTCCATAACCATACCAGGCAAAAGGCCTTTGAAATTAGGACAGTACCATACAAAAGGGGCAGCAAACCTGCCCCCCCCCACCCCCACCCCTTTTCAAGGCATCTTATCTTTATGTTGAAGAAACAAGGGCCTCATCCCCATATCAGGTTCCCAAGAAAATGCAGGGGTTTCTGGAAGGAACGTATTGAAATTTGGAAACTACCTTTATAATAAAGTGGCTCCCAGATATGTGACCCCTTGCAGGGCAATGAGGAGAAGAATGTCACCAACACACTGTGGATGTCCAATGTGGATCCAAAGCTTTATTCAGCAATCACATTGTTACGGCAAGAGCAATGTTTTGGAGCCTCGTAGGACCCCTTCATCAGGCATGTGACCAACCTCGAATTGCATGGAAAACCTTGTCAGAGTATTACAGAGCAAGGAAGATCCCCAAGGGCTTCTGGATTAGAAACCAGCCAACAATCGGTCGGTATAAACGTGATTTCTGTGAGAAGTGGTGTGAGGTATCTACACAGAACTCACTGAATGACATGTTATTAGTCACTGAACACACAGTCACACATCCTTACAGTGGCAGACGCTACCATATACAGGGATACATGAATTGAAATGACTATTGCGTTTATCCTAAAATGCCCAAGCTCACTAGTCTATATAGGCAAAACAATAGGCCCCTTTAAGCGATGGTTCCAAAGACACAAAAGTGACATAAGGACAGCTCTGGCAAAGATTGCCAAAGGTGAATCTGTTGATCTAAGTAAACCTATAGCAGTCCATTTTACTTCACTGAGGCATAAGGTGCATAAGTTAAGAGGCATGGTTATTGAATATGTCAGTTGACCAACAAGAGGAGAAGACCAAGCTAGCCTCCGCTGTGATGTGAGGCATATTAGATACATACCTTTGGCACAGTACAACCAGGAGGTCTGAATACCAACTCATCATATCTTTGTTTTCTGGAAAATGAATATATTTTGGTTATAATGGCAGCTTATGATTGAATTTTGTATATACTTTTGTCACATACCTGATGAAGGGGTCCTGTGAGGATCCAAAACATTGCTCTTGCTGCAACAATGTGATCGCTGAATAAAGCTTTGGACCCACATTAGAGATTCACAGTGTCCTGGTGACATTCTTCTCCTCTGACTGTTCTTGGTTCCAGCCGATGGTCACTGCAGCACCTGCTTACAAATTTATAGCCACTTTTAACACAGGAATGTGTGTGTTGGGATTGTGCATTTTAGCACTGCAAGGGAATGAGTATGTGGTACATGAGTACTTACTTCCCTCTAAAATGTAAAAAGATGAAAAAGACACCTAAACCCAGGACCCCACCATTGGTTTGTTTTTACAAATATCAAATATCACCCCTAGATTTTTCATTTTAGACTGAAGCTCAAGCACAGTGCCATTTGTAGGTAGGAACTTAAACCCAGAACCCCACCGTTGGTTTGCTTTTACAAACCGAAGATGGCAACTCTCTGACTCTTTGATGTTCTTTTGAAGTGAATTCCAGAGTTTTGGGGTATAGCAGGAGAAGGCTCTGCCATCCATTGAGTGTAGGTGAGTAGGGGTGACACACAGAAGACCAGAGGGGAGAAGGGAAGAAGTTGATAAAAGTTCAGCCAGATAACTGGGTGCAAAGCCATGAAAAACTTTTTAGGTGAGCAAGAAAAGCAACTCTATGCAAAACCTGATGGGTGGCCAGTGCAAGGACTCCAGGATAGGGGTAATATGATCACATTTACCAGACCTAGTGAGAATTCTGGCTGCAGAATTTTGTACATATTGTAGTTGATTACTAGTAGGTAGACCAGCAAGTAGAGCATTGCAGTAGTCAAGTTGGGAGAATACAAATGTATGGATCAGCTTTTCAGCTACAGTATATGATAGCATAGGACACAGCCGAGCAATGTTTCTCAATTGGAAAAGGTATGGGACGTTTTGTACATGTGTATCAAAGGTTTAACTAGCATGAAATATCACCCCTAGATTTTTCATTTTAGACTGAAGCTCAAGTACAGTGCCATGTATAGGTAGCCTCACATAAATGATGGGGGGTTGTCAATAAGCACAATTTCAGTCTTTTCACAGTTTAATTGAAGGACCAGCCATGTTTTTATATCCCAAATACAGTTAGGCAATAAGCAGCCAAAGTAGATTCAGTATAATACACTATGCCAGGGGTGGCTAACCTGTGGCTCTCCAGCTGTTGTGGAACTACATTTCCCATGAGGCATTGCAAAGATGGGAAGTTACTGACTTGCAGAGGCATGATGGAACTTGTAGTCCTGCAGCAGCTGGAGAGCCGCAGGTTGGCCACCCCTGCACTATGCGGTCATGGAGTCCCAGCATGTTCAAAACCACTGTACAGCTTTTAAATATTGTGCTTAGTTTAAATGCCTTACATAAGCCATGAGCTGCGCCCCCAAAGCATGCCTGAAAAACTCCCACTGTAAAGACCAGCTCTGACCTGCCCACGATCTTGGACATTCCATACATTGAGAGCTGAAACCCACAGCATTACAGGAGTGGTTATAATGTGGACGCAAGAATCTGTTACCTTTTTTTTTTTTCTTTCAGGTTGAATGTTAAAAAAAAATATGTACATGGAAAGCTTCAGAGACTTGTAAACAACTAAAGACAACTAAATTCCTTCTTTTGGGTATGTAGGAGGAAAATCCTAAGGTAAAGAGTTGGCAGGTATGTTACAATGCATGCCACTGGGCATGGACAGGTTAACTTTGAGGGGTGAATTTGAAAGCATCTAGTATACAATAGGAGCCAGCAGTGTTTTATTTCTTTAAAATTAACATGGGTTGTTTATGAGCCTTCATTTTTATATCATGACACAAACTGAATTGTGTATATTTATGTTGACTAGAAATTCGGTGAATAGCACTTGACTGCACAGCTTGATTTAATAAAACATTTCACGCATCATACTTTTATGATGATTTTCCGTATACATTTTCTGTGTTGTGAATATTAAACAGTGCCAAATGATATTGCGTAAATGCCTCTAACTCTGGATGATCTCCCTGTGTAGCAAACCGTTCTGGCATATTAATAAATTGTTTTCAGCCAAGCATCATTAATCTTTTCATAACCACAATATTACCCTTACACTCTACATAAGCACCAATATTTCAATGCAATGGCTGCTGCCTCTGAAATATACTGTAATCAGCATAATCTCCTGAAAGATTAAAACAGTAGTAAAGACCATTCATATTTTTCAGAGCATTTTGCTGTGTTACTAAAATATGTTTTAAGCTAAAACGCTTCTTTCCAAACTGCACAAATAGAACAAGCCTCTTTTGAGAAGTCAGGCTACTTGGAGCATGGCGTTAGCCTTGAAGCTGCTTAGAAGTTCACTTCAAAGATGAATGACGTGGGTACAAGCTGTGGACCCCCTACCACTTAGCAACAGGGGTTTGTGGAAAGACTGCACAGGTTTTCCTCTTTCCATGTGAAAGTAGAAAACTTCTTTACATTGAGACATGGTTCAGACACAAGGTAGAAGTCCTGCAATGACATGGACTAGAGGGCAAGAGACAATTACAGTGGTTACATGTATTGTATAAGTACGAACATCCTCAGGATCAATTAAACCGATATGGAAGATGTTGCTGTCACTGGAATTGTTAGATGAGATCATACTTCTTTTCCATGCTGTGTTTTCTCCTTTATCTGCTTCTACTATAGACATTATTGAGAGCAGTTGAAAACATAGAGGCTCATACATAGGAACATCCAAAGAGCAGTTCTTGTTTCCTGTAGAAACCAGTCAATCAATTTTTCACGTTTCTTACTCAAAAATTGAGAACTTAATTGGTTGTTTCAGGCAATGCAAAAAGTTCTGCCCTTGGGAATTGTTATTATTATCATTAATATGTAGGAGCACCTATGTAACTATTTTCCAATGCTTTTTTCTCAGGTGATAAGAAGGTATGAGTTAGTTATAAATATTCTTAGAATACTATCAGGCTGTTGAGTTTGTACAAATAAAACTTCAGCGCAACAAATAACTCCTCAAATAACTCAAGAGTGGGCCAATAACGTCAAGCTGCTAAACAGGAAGTTTATGAGCCGCCAACTTGGAAATTCCTGAACACATTGAAAATACATTATAACAATGTTTTTTACTGTGGTGCCCCAGCAGGACACATTTAAATGTGAGTGCATTTTGTTTTTTTTTTTATATACTACTCTATGGCAAGCATTTCTGTTTACATATGCGGAGGATATGTGGGATAAAGAGGAGACGGACTGTTTGCAGCAAAGTTAGG